TACGTTTAGCATCGTCTTAACGGGCTTTAGCTGGTACGATACTAGACACTATGATTATGTGAACTTTACAACACAAGAACCTTACGGCAAAAGACTTTGTACATGGATCTTAAATACGGGGACCGCCCTCGGGGAAATATCCTCAGCGCCTTTTCTCGCTCTGCGTCGGAGTCTCGCGCTCGCCGCACAGGATGTCCGCCGAAATGTCTGCCTTCCTGTCCCGCAGTCTCTTTCTTTCTCACTATCTTCGCACGTGTCGTGCTAAGAGATATTTCGCCGGATTCACGGGCAGTCAAACGCAAACGCGGGACACACGCAATATGGATTAGACTTACTTGTTTCGATAGTAACTAAGTTATTTATATAAATAAGGTGTTACGATTTTAAGACGCTAGGAGAGAATCTTCCATCGATTCCGTTTTCATCACACCATACACACACACACACACGCACACACACACACACACACACACATACACACATATTCTTTCTCTCTCTCTGTCTCTCTATCTTCTCTCTATCTTTTTTCCCTATTCTCTCTCCTCTCTCTCTTCTCTCTCTCTCTCTCTCTCTTTCTCTCACTCACTCACTCACTCACTCTCTCATTCACTCTCTCACTTACACAGTCTTCCTATAGTTGACGCTCGCTCTTTTTTATTCTCGTTCACTCGCTCATTTTCTCGTGGCGTCACTCTTTTTCTCTTCTCTCCTTTTTCTCTCATTTTCTATAATACAGCGCTCGAGTCGCGGCTCTAATCATGCCGAATCCGGAAAGGGATGCTCGTTATCTCTCACGTTTTTATCGGCATTTTATAAAAAGGCAGCGCATTCTCGGCGCCGCAATGCACTCCGCGTCCTCGACGAGAGAACAGCGTTCTCTCGAAAGTCGTCGCGATCGTCGCGTCGATCCGCGCGCGCGATACCGCACACGATCGATGTCGCCGAAGACGGGCCGATGTCGCAACGAGGGCCCGCGACTCGACATTCGTTTCGCATTGGCGATCGGATCGGGCCTCCCGTCGCCGCGGCGACGTATGCAATAATATTAATAATGATAATAATACTCGAAATCGGCGCGCCTCGCGATACGCGCGACGACGGTGCGGCGCGGCCCGATCGCCCGGAATCTCTTAAAAACGATTAGCTAATTAATTCGCTCGATAATTAGGAGATAGGTACCTCTAGGAACGCATGCACGCGCGCACGCACTCTCCAGCAGTCTTTAGAAATATGCCTCTCTTCTCTCCCTCTCGTCCATCCCTTTCTCTCTTTCTCTCTCTCCCATTTTCTCTCTTTCTCGCTCTCTTCGCTCTCGCGATTTCTTCCGCCCCTGTTATCTGCGATCGTCTCGGTACCGCGAGACGATCGCGCTGATTTTCGAGTCATCAACCACGAATATAATCGATGGTACGTACATTATAAAGAATCCCCTTTTGTTCCGTCGTCGTCGAACGAACGACGCGACTTCACGATTGCCGCGCGCCGTGAATCGGGGGTAATCGCGGATGCGCGGCGAACGTCGCGTCGTTGATATGTGTGCGATCGGTCCGCGTCCTAATCGCGATATCCACCGGACCGATCTCGATTTCCGAGAGCCTCGCCTGTACTCGAGTTCTCCAGCCGACCGTCGGGGAACGCCACTAACCGCCAGCTCTGTACAAGCGCGCGCGCGCTTTATTGTTCGTCGAAATTGCGTGAATCGCCTCGTCGATCACGCTCGCGTGATTCTGTCCGGAACTTACGCATCTTACGAATAAGATACTCGGCGAAGCCTCTCGACGCTCTCGGCATTCGCGCGTTCGCACTGCACGCCGTCTTGTAAATCTCACACACGCGCGAATCATCACTCGGAGTTACGAGCCGTCGTCTTCACTGACGAATCCGCGCGTCTCTCCTCGCGCGGTTGACCCCATCACGCATGTTTCTTGCGAAGATTTTCGTTTCTCGTTGTGTGTAGGTCCGCTCTCTCTCCCCGTCTCCCCCTCTCGTAGTGTCAAATTGCGCTTCCCTCCTCGCCCGATCGATCACTCGCTTCGGCTGCTCGCTGCACGCTCTGCCTGCTGCCCTCGCTTGCCCTCGTCTAGCCTCTTCTAGGTCGCGCTCGTGAACAGAACGGAGTTCTTGTAGTAACCCGTTCGCGATTCTGGAACAGAAGCGATGCACAGGTGCACTCTGGAGTCCGTGCTTACAATATCTTCGATTAGCATGACCGTCGCGCCGCCAATTTTGCTTATCGAATACGAATAATGGACTTATTGTTTTAATGGCATGAAATGAAAATAAAATTTAGCGCTGGACTTGGTCGCGGCGCCGTTATGACTGTTAGGCGTGTCGCAATTCTTAATGAGAATGCGGGAGAGAGGAGCGGATGTGTCACGGATGAAAATGCGCGCGGCAGATGAATGGTCGTGGGCGTAATTCCGCCACGGAGAGCCGAGGATTCGGCGGGGTTGGTGGTTGCGGCGCGATTCGTAAAGGTGGACCAGCTGGGTCATTCAATGATCGTTCGTTCGGCAGAAGGCGCCGCTCACTAATTATCGCTGGCTCTCGAGACGTAGATGAACGCGCGAGGGACGCGCGAGGTGGATAAAGAGATGGACGAACGAAGTTGAGAAAAAGGGTGAGGGAAGGAGCGAGGGAATCGGAGGGAACCCTATCGTGTACGCACACGTTCGTAAATACGAGACCGGCCGAGTCATCGGCCTCAGCGCGGCCTTTGTGATCGAGCCGCCACTCTACTTTTTATCGAACTGTCGCTTATGATTGAAAATCACTATACGTTAATAGTCCGCGTGATTCGGTTTACTCGTCTCCCCGCGCCCACTATCGTACGGATTGCCTCCATCTACCCGCCCCGGCTCTTCCACCGTCATTTTGTTTCATTCAACATGCATGTTTTAATAAGAATTTATTTTTCTCTTACTAACCCGTCGTGCATTCGATGAGGGAAAAAAAGCCTTCGAGCGGCGGCGAAATTATTGTATATATGATATTTAATTGCTAAATTTTCTCAAACAAAAGAAATCATATTTTTGCAGAAATGCTACTTTATTATTATTTTTTTTTTTTTTTTTGCGATAAACTGGTTCAGGCCACTTTAAGTCTGTAATTCGCAGAGAATTCGAGATGCAATTTAATTTATTATTTTATGTCTTGTTTTATGCGGCGATATATTTAAGGAATCGAAATGTATAAAATGTACAATAAATCAATATGTGAATATTGATTTTCCACACGTTTTCTACTGTATAAAGTTATAAACAGCTTCCTCTCGAATTCCGTCGCGAATTATAGATAGTCTAAAGTGGGCTTTAATAACATTATCGGCGGTAAAAAGCTCTCGGCCAAGATGTGGGAGTTGATTTTGCAAGGACGTTGCCAATTAAGAGCGGACTTGTTAATTCCTTTCGAAAGCCCCTGAGCGGGTGGGCGGGCGGGCGAAAAACGATTATTTACGTGCAACGTCACGCCGGCCGGGGCCTTGGAGCATCGAAATCGCGCTACGGATATAGTTTTTGCGCAAGTTGGAAACTTCCTTCGGACAAGTTTCCACGGGGAAGAGCGAGGCCAAGTTTCGAATATGCCGGGGCTATGCCGCTGACGCCTTTGCAAGAACCGCCGTCTCTCGCCCACCCTTCGCCGAGACGCGACCGCCCCTGAAGAGTTTCTAATTAAAGATCCGAACTTTATTCCGTATAGCAAGAAATCGTTCTACGCGCACTGCACGAAAACTGCAGCTCTCCGAATGCGAGGAACTTGAGAAAGAAATGCTCCGAGGCGATCGCTATATCGCCGATGGAAGCTGCCGATGCGACCGGCAGAAGAAAGTTGAAAAAGATCTTATAAACTCGTTATGCGTTTACGATGAACGCACGCGTGACGATACGTATTTCGTGTTTTTCTCCAACGCACCTTGAAGAGGAGACTTGACTTGGTCCCTCTCGGCCGCTTGGTGTTGCCGCGATTTTCTTTCCAGCTCGAGTTCCTGCACGAGCGATTCTGCGACAGAAAAAAAAAGTACACATAAAATTGACAAACTGAACATTAGAGCAACATAATACGCGCGACATTTGTGAGACAGCCTGCATAATGCAGTATTATTCTACTATGTAATCTACGCGCATATAATGCGGTCTCACTAGCATTCTCCCGGCTTAAGATTAATATCGGCGTTTGGATAACGCGCTCCGCTGCCCCGGCCGCGTTGAAGGAATCGCCCCGAGGAGAGAAGTCCGTCGGCTTGCAACGCACACGGGCGCGCGGGAACGACACGCGGATTCGACGAGGCGTGAACCACGCGCGCGAAGGATGAAACGAAGCGGTAATTAGTGCAAAACCGGCAGCTACCGTCAGCCGCGCGCGAAAGGGGGATGGAAAAGGGACGAGCGGGATAACGGACGAAGGCAGGCGTGAAAGGGCCGCGAGTTTGCTCACTGAATTTCGCAAGGATTAGGGTGAAAACTGGAAAATGTCCCTTTAATGATATCGCGCCGAATTAACCGGGCACACGCGTCTCGCTCACGTCGTGTCTAATGTCCTCTCGAGAGATTAATGCAATGGATACTGTGCGAAATTACATTTCGTTCGAAGGGAAGTAAGTTGTATTCTGCTAACTGAAATTCATTTAATTGATTTCTTAATCAAATAGTCTTTATTGAATTAAAATTTAATTTATGCGTTAGACGTTGGAATTCGAGCATCTTCGATATTATGATTTTGTTTTACAGAATTTTTACATTTCTTTTTTAATTATTCTTCTAATGAGAAGAAAGCACTTTGCGAATCGATCGATTACAGATGGAAATTGTGCGAGCGATAAAACGAAGAGACAGAGAATATCACAATTAACATGGACGACGAAGGGATCTGATCGGTAAGCGTGAAATGGCGCCTCCTTGGGCAAAGAGCAATGGTAAAATCCAATTGCGAAGCCATTAAGTCCCGGTTAACCGGCGTGCGCGGACGTGTGAGAGGAGTCGGCGGCCGTTCTCCGTCTCGCTCACGCTCGCCCTTTCCCGTCCTATCCCGCTCTATCTCTTCGCTGCCGGGACTAGAGACGACGGGGCCGAGATTCCATTATGCTTTGAGCAACAATAGCTGAGGGCTGTTTCGTGGCACGTGGGTGTGAATTCGTGCGTTCGTCAGGGCCGTTATATTCCACGACTTTGGGGTACGGCGGAGAGCAATGTTTGCGTTTCGCTGAGCCAAATTACCTCTCGCGCCCTTATCCGCGCGCGGGGTGTCGCGTCCCTTTGATATCCAAATGACAATTTAACTGCTCCGGCCATAACACCGCACGCTCGCTCGCGCCGAGTCTCGCGCGAGGAAGGGCGGACGGGAATGAGGATGGCAGGCTCGGAGAGCGGAGGACCGATTTAAGGAAACCTTCTTGCCACGTTGAGAGCGCGACGAGAACGCGTCGAGAGATGCCAATCCCTTTGTTGCGTCGAGTCCGGATAAAGAGCGCGAAAAAAAAAGCGATTTGATTGATTGCGCGCGTCCTTTTTTTCCCCCCCGCGGAATCCCCGCGTCATTTCGCTCCATTCTAATAACTTGGCCGGACACTTCGCCACCGTCGCATTGTTTGCCAGTCCATCGACGCAAGAAAGCGATGTGCGCGGCAGCGACGACCCGGGAATCCGGATTCGCGATTTCTCGCGGGTATCGTTGCGTGCACGGCGTATCGAATGAAGAAAGAAGGGAGCACGTCGTTTGATACTGCAGAATTCTGCGCAGACAGCGTATCTCGGTGGAGTCCGAGAAGAATGAGCCGGCTAATAGTTTCGCTACCGTCTTACACACCCTGACAAATCGTCCGAACAATGAAAACAATTTCAGGCCGTGCCCGTACGAGGCCTCGCCGGGGCCCTAAACGGTCGGTATTGTATGCCACTACATCGTGCGCCATATCGGCCCGGCTTTTTGGGGGGAGAGCGGAGGGGGGGAAGGCGGCGGCGCGACGCGAGGCGAGGGCTCCTAAAAAAGACGTCCGCTGAAAAAGAAGAGGGGCCCCGGTGGCTCGCCCCTCTATGACTCCGCATTTATCCGCACGTAATTAACTCCGGCACAATGCGGCCGCGAGGAAAGAGAGAGAGAGAGAGAGAAAGAGAAAGAGAGAAGCCACCTCGCCTTCGAGTGGAAGAAGAAAACGAACCGAATCGAAATCGAGGACGGGGAGAGAATGCGGGAGAAGGTGCGATCGCAAGCCGGGAGTCCTGCAAGAACTGGAAAAACTCCCGCGCATTGTTCGTCCCAGGATCGAGAGGGGCAGGGAGGGGGGAGAAGAAAAAAAATACACGTTCGCGCTCGTACGAACTTCATTATTATATCCCCTGAAACCCGGTCCGACGAGAGAAGGATTCCACGAAGGAGACCAATAACTCGCGATTGATAAGCAGTCTCGCCAGACGCTCGCAGTCCTTATTCCACGGGAGTTTTTGCGATTACGGAGCGAAAGGCTTACCACTGCGAATCTGCCTTGCCCGAAGACGACGTCCTTGGAATTTAACCGGGTTTGCCGCGGCGGCGCCGGATATCGGATATAACCGTCAACGCGATGAGTGCACTCGACATGTTTCTTTCTTGCGCGAACGGCGAAAAAAGCAATTTAAGTATCACGTCGAAGCGACGGTAATTGGCTGAATGCTCTTGCTCTCGAGGATCGGGACCCGAGGGTTAGCGACGTACGCGAGCGAAAAAAAAAAAAAGTGGCGCGGGACGCGCGAGACGGGAGCGGGCGGGCGGCATCAGAGGGGTTGATTTCATGTAGCACATCGCGCGCGCGTTTTTAATGCTCTGATCTTTATGTAAAGTAGAAGAGGTTCGAAGGGCGGTGGAGAGCAGCAACGGGCGAGGCAGGGGGACAGAAAGCGTGATACGGGGGGGAAGGACGAACGGAAGATGCGGACAGAGGTGGGGATAGGCGCTTGAGCGTCAAGCCGACCGTGAAATTGTATGAATCAAGGAGCCGCACAGAGCAGCGCGGGGACACAAAAAAGCGGAGAAACCGGGTGGCGGAGGACGCAGAGGGGGAGGAAAGGGAGAGGAATCTCCGGATCTCTTTCTCTCTCGCTTTCGAATCGCGCGACTCTTATAATTTCAAATTTCCGTTGGCTGCCGCGATCATCCGCCCGTCCTCTTATTCCATCTCTTGACTTTCCTTTTTTCCCTTCCGCCCTATTTTCGCCGCGTTCTCTCATCTTTACATATCGGGAAGTCGCAACCGCGCCACACTGGGGTGCGAGTGTCGTTTCGTCCCTTATCGAGAGGCTCTGCGTCGACTTGAAGTGCGCGAGAAAGTCTCCAAGTCCACTCGGAGCGATGTAAACGCGACGCTACTTTGCGGTTCTAATCGATGTCTGTCTACGAAGCCTGTTTTAACAATGTCGCCAAAGTTATTTGAGAAAAAAAGCTGACGATATTCAGGGCAATCGATGAGACTCGCGTTCGCGTAATTGTTCTTTTTTCCGCACACAAATCTCTCTGCTCAGTATGCTATTCGCGTCGAAGCTCTCCGGTAACGAATTTAATCCCCTCGCAATCCGCGCTCCTTCCAATCGGCGCCCGCGGCGACGTAAAATCATAAGTCGGGGGAGGGGGGGCAGCAGATCTCTCCTCTGTGTACACACGGCGAATTTAAGGGGCTTCGAAAGCAACATCGGTCGCGATCCGCTCCGTTTCTTTATTGTAACGTGACAATCCGAAGAAATTATACAATGTATTCGCGAAACTTATTATTCATTATTTTCTAAGACGCGTAGGAAACGACAAGAGAAATAGAGAGGAGTTCCTCGACAAAGTCGTAGCTCGTAATCGCCGCACGAGGGGGGATCTTGAAATAAGCCGAATATTCCTGACGACGTCTACTCAGTCGATTACGCACACAGCTACGCGAGCTACTATCGCGTAGAGAAACTACACCTTTCTGCGTGTGGCCCTCCGTCCTCCCCACCGTCCACCCTCCTGATTCTTAATGTCCCGGCTCGTTCGACGGAAAACCACGTCGTCGTTGCCTCGCACGTATATCCAGGGCGCGAGGGACGTGTTCGAGCCCTCCGCCCTACCTCCGCCGCCCACGTCGACGCGTCGGCTTCCTTCGGCCTTTATATTGCTTGTACACACGCGTCACGCTTTATCACTCTCGCGCGCGGGGTTATTGTCTTTCGCGTGATGATCTACGCACGTGTACGCACAGGTGCGACGCTCGCATTTTCTCGGCCGCGTGGGCGGCTGGAAAGCTGGAAATAATCTGGCGTGCACAGCAGAACCGTTCCGTCGCCGTCGTCATTTTTCCTTCCCGAGGCGATACGCTTGATTTCCGAGACTGTGAGGCTTAAAACTTTTTACTTCTCTCGACAATGTTTGATTTTTTTTCCAGTTTGTTCAGACCGCTTGGTATTCAAGGTTAATTCATTCGTGGAAGCGCTTGAGCGCGGTGTGCAAAGGCTAAAAGGGTTTAGCGTCTAATGACGTTACTGCCGCGGCTGCGTGCTTGATGCTGATCTCACGAGACATCGATGAAAAATGATATCGGCGCGCCCCGATGTCCCGATCGCGATTATTCCCATTCCGAATAATTCCCGCAGACTTCGTCCATCAAATATTAATGCGCACGCGGCGATTTAGAGTGATTGCGGTCGCAGGATGGAGGACGAAGGTACAGTGCACACCGCGGAGCAATCTCGCAAAGTCTCGGTGTGGGTGTGTTCGAACGTGCCACGTCTCTTCGTGCGATGGAAGAAGCGCGGTTGAGTCGGTGGGGGCGAAGGGGGAGGAAGGAGGAACAAGGGGAGCTAAGGCAGAAGGGGGAATAAACGATAGAGACAGCGAAGCCGAAGACGATGGCCTGAGAAGAAGGACGGAAAGAGAAAGAGCGAGAGATAGAGGGAGAGAGAGAAACGGAGAAAGCGAGAGTGCTGCAAAATCGAGAAGGAGGTAGGACAGGGGCAT